GACGAGTTGCAGCTGTCCTCTTCTTTTCAGAGGCATTTAAGAGCTATTTGGATTGAAGAAATCCTTACATTAGCCGAAAGATTAGTTGCTAGCTGCTACTATGCTTTCAGACGTCGCTAGGCAACCGACTTCTTCTTTGGATTTTCTGTCTGCGGCCACCTTACTCTTGGCTTTGTTCCTTTCTATTTTCTTTTTTTCAGACATATATAACTTATACATAGATATGTATATATATTATTTACGCATGTGATCATTATTTGCGTGTTATCAAATATAAATAACCTGTTTGCCCAGCTCGCAGCCACAGAACGATCACTGGCCGTTACTCCCATCTAGTGGGCTGAATTTGTCATTGCCAAACATCAATTTGTGGTCTCAACACTTCTCTGTCCAAAAGCTTTCTTATAAAACTAAGTAACGTATTGAGACGTACTTTTAGTTGATGCCAGTTTATGGTTAATTTAATAACATTTTCCTTACAAATAACTATCAAAACTTCTTCCGTGGGACTGATTTTTTAAGTGCCTTTAGTGTGAAAATAATAGACATAAAGGTACCACACTTAACATCGGGAAATTCTTTCAAATTTTTATCTGTAGTCTATTTTGTTTATGTTTCCATTAAAATGTTATCTTTGGGTAACTGTCCTAAATTTAATTAATCTACTCTGGTTTGTCATTCCACTTTTTTCAATCTTGATAACACCAAACCAAAATTACTGCCAGGCGCGCTGGAAGCTGTTTCAAGCGAGGGGGGCTGATGGCTGGGTTGGAAAACACATGACGTCATTATGTTGAGGGCTGTGGCTGACGTTTTTAACATAGTATTGTAGGCCTACATTTGTCGCCAAAAACTGCCATTTAAAATGCATCGGAACAAAGCATGAACATTTTAAACTTTATATCTTCTCTTTTAATCATTCAAAATTGATCGTCTGCCTGGCTCTGTGTTTCCTGGACGGGGCCGCCTTTTACAGCTGCTTTTTATGTCTCTGCTTCCGTCTCCTTGAACCCCAGTGGGCCTCAGCAGATGGCCGCTCACACTGAGCCTGGTTCTGCTGGAGGTTTCTTCCTCTCCACTGTCGCTACAAGCATGCTTACTGTGAGGGATTGTATTTGAGTCAATGAGTCGATGCAATCAACTGGTTTTCCTTAGATAGAAAAGTAACTAAGTAAGTAAGTAAACTTTATTTGTATAGCACTTTTCACAGACAAAGTCACAAAGTGCTTCACATGATAACATAAAAACAACACAAGTAAAAACAGATAAAATGCAATAAAAGCTATAATAAATAAGGGAATAAAACAACAGGCTATGTGCTTTGGAAGGCTAGTGAAAACATGTGTGTTTTTAGCTGTTTTTTAAAGATGTCCACCGAGTCCAGAGAGCGCAGGGACAGGGGGAGTTCATTCCAAAGACGGGGTGCCACCGCTTTAAAGGACCAGTCTCCTCGGGTTTTAAAACGGGTCCAAGGAACCATAAAAACTTTGTATCAATTTGACTGGATGATCTGGTTGAACTGTAAAGTGCTTTGAGATGACATGTGTTGTGAATTTGGCGCTATATAAATAAACTGAATTGAATTGAAAACAAACAACAGCTTGCAATCAACAGGAACAGGAATACTTGAATGAAACATGGCCTAAATATAGCCTAAACTGAGCATTGAACATCTTGAAAGTCCATTCGACTATGGATATGGGGAATGATTTCATATCTGAAACAAAAAACACACACAAAAAAAAAATAATAATTTCATATTTTATCACTTAATAGCTTAATACAGACATAATATTTAGTGATATGCAGCCTTATTCTAGCGTATAGGGGAATTAAAACCATTTCTCACCTCGAAATAGTCAGAAATACGTTTCTGCTGCCTATTGCTAGCCATGCCTAAACGAATGTAAGGTGGCGGAAGCACTTAAAGCTACAGTGTGTAATAATTACAGGGATATAAAGTCAGAAATTTAATATATTATACATAACTATGTTATTTATCATCACCTATGAGCTCAGCCTTTTAACCATAATATTTGCGCTGCCTTAGAATTCGTTATTTATAATTACATAGGAGCGGGTCTCACAGCCATGGAGGCTGACATCTTTGCGCTACGGCAAGCGCAGAGGCAACAAACTAGCGATTGCGAGATCTCCCATTACGCTCGAAAATAACTACGGCAAGTTGAGAGAGATGAACTGAGACGGTACTGAACAGTAGATGGCAGTATTATGCCTGAGAAGCGTTTAGTCTAACTGAAACCAAAGAAGAAGAAGAAGCAGGTATACTGCGCCTCAGTAACAAGAAAGGTGAACAAGGCGGCAGGCGTGAGTGACTTTGCAAACTGTTTGGCACTGTGTGGCCAAACATCAGACGAATTGAGGATCATGCCTACTCTGCATCACAACGAAAAGCGGCGGACACCGAACCCCCGTCATCTAAGAAGCGGAAACACGACGAGAATAAACGCAAGCGTGACAAGAAATGACAAAAAACACGGATCAACATTGGCACGGCATTTACACGATGGAAGTCACTGATGGAGGAAAAAGGTTTTCAAAGTGACGCTCAAGTTGCCAGTTTTCTCTTGGACAGGTAATTAATCCTACACACACAATTGTCTAATATCACTGCAGTTTTTGGAGTACAGGATGCTCAGACCTGTCTAAAACAATAACATGCTGCGTGATGATGCTGTTACTCTCCAGTATACTTATTCAGCAACGTCCCTGACGTTTCACAGGTAATGATTCAGTAATTTTCTGTAAAATAATTTTCTGGATATATACCTCGGTTACTTCTCTCCGGCTCCTTTGGAGATCTTCAAGCCTTTCTTCCTCTGCTCTCACCCCGCTGGCTCCCCTCTCTCGCCTGGCCCCAGCTGCACGCTCACCCCGGCCTCTCTGCCCTCTTCCTTTCCCTCTTCCTCGCCTTGTAACCCCCGTGCCACAAACAAGACTTGGACTCTGTAAACGGGGAATATATATTCTTCCAGCGAACACAATCTCGCTGTTAAACTAATGACTACAATTACTTCGTCTGTTTATATCACCATGCAAAGCAGCTCACCAAAACGTCACAACGACGTAGAAAAAATAACGGGTATATTTATTATCTTAAGTCTACATGAAATCTATACCCTACACAGACTAATGAAATACTATCTGTAAAATTATCTATGTAAACAAACCTCATCACTTGAGAAGGTAGGTGATGCGGACATCGTGGAAGACATTTTGTCCCGTAACGCTCGCCGTACTGTTGGGGGGGGGAAGCGGTGGGGGGGAGACGTTCATGTTGCTGCGGTCTGCAGTCTGAGCGCTAGATGTCGCTGAAAATTACACACTGTAGCTTTAAGGGGGAGTAGCCTAGTTTTTTATGAAATATTAAAATAATGAATCATTAGTTTATATCTTATACACAGCCCATCATTTTAATCCCATATCAAACACAGTCTTTTAAAAAATAAATACATAAATAATTTCATGTTTTTAAGTACAATATTATGTTACCCCACAGCCCCCCATCATGGGGGGCTGATGCTATGACGAGGGAGGCTGCAGCCCCCACAGCACCCCCCTTCCCGTGCCACTGATTACTGCATATATGCAGAGGCATAGCCAGAACATTTTTATAAAAGTGGCCAGGCAATAACCAATGTAGACTGAGGGGTGGCCGATAGTGGATAGATGCCAGAACCTCAGGGTCAATCTACACTGTTCTACCAGGAACATTAACAAGCACAACATCCACATTTTCAAAATAAAGACAAACTTTAATTTCCTACAGCCTTTGCTAACATATAGACGCATATATTTAAACATCCATGCTTTCTAGATGGAAGGTATAGTGGATAAAATTCTTTCAGGTTTGAGTTCTGGGGCGAACATCTTTTTCTTTGTCTTTTCTTACCTATATTTATCTATAATCATTCTGCATAAAATTTATATTTACAAGTGCTTATAGCTACATAAATTGATTATATAAGAAGTTTTTTTTATTAAAATAGTCATTTATCTATTATTTCCCTGAAGACTCCTAGATGACTTGAAGAGACATCATTTTATCATTTTACCCCATATATAACACAAAGTGTAGCTCTGGAAAGAGCATGAAATCTGTACTTATCTTTAATGTTAGTATACTGATGTGCATATTTAACAAAAAAATTATTATTATTATTATTATTATTATGTTTTGAATATTCCACTGGAGGGAAAAAATGGTAGGGATGGCCACAGGGGTGGCCAATGATTGGCTCAGGGTGGCCATGGCCACACCTGGCCCCCCAACTAGCTCCGCCCCTGCATATATACCATATATTTTAATGCTCTGAACTTCCATATCAATGCACCTTGCACCATGTTTTTTTCTCCCACACTGTTTACATTTGATCAATGCTGCACTTTGTGGATTGTGAATGTTCATTTACTGTCTGAAAAGCTGTACTAAACGAAATTTCGTCTTGCATACACTCTGTGCATACAAAATGACAATAAAACTTGTCTAAGTCATTTTCAGAGATGTCTATGCAGTTTCTGATACATAGGTTCTAGGATTACTTAATTAAATACAGATAAATAAAAGCACAAAGTTACGTTTATATTCTTATATAAATCACGTTTAATTCATATACTTTTCATCCTCTGTATTCCTGTTTTCCCCTCCTTGTTTCTGTTTTTCTGCTTTTGTGTAATTCATAACGAGCACGCGCAATGAATTGTGTAAGTGCTTTTAAAAGTCACCAGCAGAGGGCGTATTGTTCTTGTTGTGAAACGTGTTACCTTCAGGTACATCATGTTTTTTTATTATTCCTCTAAAATAATTCATTTTCCATAAAGTTTGAAAATACAAACGATGCTAATTATGATATATTTAATAATTATTGACCTGTTGGTCAAAAGCAGCTAATCTGTAAGGGATATTTAATCCCACTAGTCTTCGTTTAGACTAATAATTGTTAAAAAACGAGCCGTGCAATGACTTTGAATGCAACAACAATACTAGTTCAGTCACGTGAGCAGGTGTTTCTCATGCCATGGCTTCCCCAGTAGCTCTAATTCAAGGTGCCAGCAGAGGTTTGGGGCTTGAATTTTGCAAACATGTATTAAAGAATAAAAGCCTCGCCTCGGTCATAGCAACGTGTCGAAACCCAGATGGAGCGGCAGAGCTGCGGGGCCTCGCCGAACAACACCGAGGCAGAGTCACGATCCTCAAGCTGGACGTGAACCGGGAGGAGGACGTCCGCGGAGCAGCCGAGCGCGTGAAGGAGAACTTCGGCCGCGTGGATCTGATGGTGAACTCTGCGGCGATGCTTCATCCTAGCGGGAAAGGAGAAACTAGTCTGAGGGATGTTTCTGCGCAGGTAGACTGAGTTTTTCTATTGATGTGGTGTAATTAGGTTTTGAAGAGAGCATCAATCAGCTTTCTGAATATCTGGTGCAAGATGCAGGGGCGGAGCTAGATGGGGGGCCAGAGGTGCCCACCCTACCATTCTTTCCCTCTAATACACAGTGGCAGCAGTAATACTCTCAAGTGGAATATTGTAACGAATTTAACATTAAATTTTTCTATTTGTAACACTTACCTGACAACTAAAACACTGTGGTTAATTATGCACATTAATATACTAACATTAAATATGATCAATACAGATTTTGTCTTATATTGGAGGAGAAAATGATGTCTCTGTAAGTCATCTAGGAACCTTCACTGAAATCAGAGATAAATAACATATTTTAATAACAAGTAATCCATGAATTGTAGATATTAGAACATATATATTAATTGTATCTGGAATGATTATTAATAAAAGTAGGTAGGTAATGAAAATGAATAAAACTGAATGAATTTGGCCACTACACCTTTATTTGAGACGGCTTGGATGTTTAAATATTTGTATCTATTTGTTAGCAAAGGCTGTAGGAAAGTATATTTTGTCTGTATTTAGAGAATATGGATGTTGTGCTTGTTGATTTTCCTTTTGGAACAGTGTAGATCGACCCTGAAGTTCTGGCATTCACTTTTGGCCACCCCTCAGTGTACATTGGTTATTGCCTGACTACCCTTATTAAAATGTTCTGGCTAAATGTCTGGTAAGATGGGGTATTGCTGTTTATGCCAACCCCAATATCTATTTGAACAGTGGAGTTGACAGCACTTATGCAACATGATAATTTAAGCTTAATTAAATAACACCACAATTTCCCCATTTTGGGACAATAAAGGGATTTTCTATTCTATTAATTAAATTTTCATCTCAAAGTTTAACTTTTTTGTAATAAAATGTTTTTAAAGCTAATAAGTGTATTATTCTAAAATAGAAAATAAAAAACTGTTTGTTTGTTTTTTCCCCCCACTTTATTTTATAACCAATCATCTAAAACGTGTGCCCTGCAGTTATCTATAGAACAGGACGACCTTTGGTTCAAGTCAGCCAATCAGCTGGGAGCAGTTTTCCTTGCCCTGCTGAAGATGCAGTCCCACAGCATGACACTTCCGTCACTATGTTTAGTGCTAGTTTTCTGCAACACATAGATGTTTGGATGTTTAAAAATGAATTCCACTTTACTTTCATTTGGAACACAGCCAGTTTTAAAAACAGTTTTATTGTGTTATGTGTCTTTAAATATATGTTTACGGTTTGAGACTTTTCTGGTGGATTTGCAGCATCGGATTGATAGAATAACTCGATCCCCCATTTCTTGACAGGGGCTTAAAGTTGATCACAATGTGTTTGGAAAATGTTTTGTATGTGAAGCCAAAGGTCTTTAAGGGCCTATAACCTTTTCTTTTATTAAGATAGATTGAGGTGTTTAAATATTGCAACTTCATGATTTCTGCGGATCATTAAAAATGATCAAAAGTTATTAAATTATTATTTTTTTAACTAAGGCCTTAATTGGCATTAGAATTCATTAAATGTGATTATCGGGGCATTTACAATGCTTCATTAAAATTCATCAGATAAATTACATTGCAATATATTTGTGCAGAACTGCTCCCGGTTGATCGTAAAGCTGGATGCTCGGAAAAGAAGCTCGAGGCTGAGAAAAAGCTAGAGAATGGGGAAAATGCAAATTTCGACAAATATTACTATATTTATGTTTTTGGCATTAAAATTATTTCTAAGAGCATTAAAAGAGCATTAAAAACATGAAATTAGATTTACTCATTCATTTATAAACCCTAACTGCCTTTACCCTGTCCTGGTTTTTCTTCCTTGGTAACTAACCTGCCTGGGATAAAAAAATAAATACACACCAAGTGTGTCCGAACATACGCCCTAACCTCTATAGAGCACTATATAGTCGTTACACCATTTTATGAGGGTCCAAATGTTTTGTGGATGGAAAAAGTAGTGGACTAAAAATCTCCCACAATGCACCTCGAAAAGTAGTTCACAGCCATGGTTACCAGACAAGCAGATATATCCCAGAATGCTTTGCAAGAGCTCTCCTCGCTATGCATCATGGGATCTGTTTTTTTAGGCAAGAGAGAACAAAGATGGCGCAGGAACTGTGCGGTGATCTGGGGTCTGTTAACTGAGTCCACTAGAAAGTCTGTCTTCTATATAGTGATTGAGGGGTTAGAGGTTACCGGCACAGCCATAGGCTGATAAGGATTATTTAATAGGGGACTTCTCAAGCAAATTGTTTCATGGAATTTTATTTTAAGGTATTAAAGTAAAATATTCTGAAACCTTCTTGATTTTGTTGATTTATTACATAAAATTCCATCATACAACTTTCTGGCTGTTATTTGACTAAAGTGGAAGATAACTTAGCCACTTTGGTAAGAGGTTAAAACAATTTATAGCTTTTTACTGTTAGTTGTGTACTATCATTTATTTATTCTTAGAAATACCTTTACAAATATGTTTTTTTTTACCTTCTCAGGGCATCATAACCACCTTGACCACCAACACCGTGGGCCCCCTGATAATGGCCAAATATTTTACCCCTCTCCTTCAGAAGGGCGGCGGTGCTTTTGGTCAGCAGCCTGCAGAGAAAGCGAAGCAGCACAGCGGCATCATCGTCAACATCACGGCCAAAGTCGGATCCATTGGAGACAACGGTATCTTTTTAATGATTCATGGTTCACAGCCTTTTGTTTTGTATTTTATTTTAATTTTTTTACTTTATGCCCTTACATGTAGATTGTGGGAAATATCAAGTATGTTTCTTCTTCTTCCTTCAACCCTCTCACTTTTCTCTCTAGGACTTGGTGGTTGGTACAGCTACAGAATGTCTAAAGCAGCTCTCAACATGGCCACAAGGAATTTATCCATAGAGCTGGGGCGCAGTCGACCTAAGGTAACAGTTCTTAGTCATAATTAAGCCTTTTACTTCACTTTGATATTAAATAGATGATTGATTTTCCTACTATTAGGACAAAACAAACAAAACACTTCTCAGGGTTTATATAAAGGCTCTTTCCAACATATATTGCATGCCTTTACCGTCCTCCACCTTTATCTGCTTATGCACAAGTAACCCAACCAGTTATTATTGAAATTTCATGCAAAGGATTAAAAATTCACATTTTGAGCGCAGCTTTTAAGGATACTGCTGTAGTATCAGTTTACCTCTGATGGATAAGTTTATTCTAACCCGTCTTTTTTTCACCGTTTCCAGGTGGTGTGTGTGTCCTTACACCCAGGAACAGTCAACACGGACCTTTCCCGGCCGTATCACAAGAACGTGCCAAATGACAAGCTGTTCAGTGCTGAACACTCTGTGAACTGTCTGATGGCCATCATTAATTCACTAAGCATAGAAAAGACAGGAAAGGCGTACAACTGGGACGGAGCCGAGCTTCCTTGGTAGAATCATAAAGTGGGATCAAAGATGTGACTTCACCCTAGTGTGCCGATTCTCTGAGCAGATAATGCTGAGATAGGCAGGGATTTTACTATTGACACAACTACTACAAGTGCTTTACTGGAGGTTTTTGAAAGAATAATTATCAGGTCACCATCTCTACGTCTACACCAAAGTCAGTTCAGTCAAAATTACTGTGATCGTCAACATTAAGGTCAACCTCTAAGATATAGGAACTCTATAGATTACTTGTGCTTCCATTGTCAGCTATAAACTGTTTTGGCACGATGAACAAATATCCAGAAACTTTCAGAGTTCAAGATCTCAAACCTAAACTGTTCAGAAAAGTCAAGATCTAAACAATTTAAGGCAATTTCTGCATATTCTAGAACAATTGTTCTTAAATTTTGATACAAAAACTAATGGTATTTTTGGTGCGTTAAGTGGAAAAATTGGTGTAATTTACAATACAAAATCATGATGGACAGATTTTTTATTTAGAAAACTAGAACCTCCTTCTTCCCATATAAAACAGGAGACTACAGTAAATGCATGCTGGAGGCTTCTTATCATATGTCCCTTAATATTAAAAGTAAGAACTTAAATTTGGGGGAGATAATCTTCATCAATCCATGTTGTTGTTCTAGCCTGGAAACCCTTTGGTATTAGTTCATTTCTGGTTATTTGGCTGATGATGTAATGGCCGACTGCATCTCTGCTTTCTGTACATTAGAAGAACATGTTCACAAATAAAGGTTATATAAAAGTTTGTGTATAAATGACTCCCCCCAGATCAAAACTGACAGAAGTACAAGTAGACTTTTTGTTACTTGCCTTAATCATTGGGATTTCTTCCTTTTCAGTTTCATTTCCCTTCCATCTTCCTTGCTTATGAAATTGTAGTTCCTAGCCTTCTTCTTACATGGGGATCAAAGCTATGAACATTAAACCCTGCACATAGGACACTTCCTATGCAACTATGACTGTTTTTAAGATGAGTATTGAGTTACTTTAACCTGATAATGTAGAACTACCTGTCAGAGTGGGGGGGCTCCAACTTTTTACTCATTCAAACAACACCTTTGTTTACCTTCTGTTTAAAATGATAAAGTTACTTTTTTTTGCTTTTTAAAGCTACAGTGTGTAATAATTAGAGGGATATACAGTCAGAAATTTAATATATTATACATAACTATGTTATTTATCATCATCTACGAGCTCAGCCTCTTAACCTTAATATTTGCGTTGCCTTAGAATTCGTTATTTATAATTACATAGGAGCGGGTCTCGCAGCCATGGAGGCAGACATCTTTGCGCTACGGCAAGCGCAGAGCCAACAAACTAGCGATTGCGAGATCGCCCATTACGCTCGAAAGTAACTACGGCAAGTTGAGAGAGATGAACTGAGACGGTACTGAACACACAGACTAATGAAATACTATCTGTAAAATTATCTATGTAAACAAACCTCATCACTTGAGAAGGTAGGTGATGCGGACATCGTGGAAGACATTTTGTCCCGTAACGCTCGCCGTACTGTTGTTGGGTTTTTTTCCCCCATCATGATGTAACGCTATCCTTCTTTAACCAGAAGAGGGCAGCATTTTGTTTACCCAGTTTTCTCCTTTAATGTTTCTCTGAGTTACTCTTTTAACAGTGTGTGGATTCCTGTATTCAGTGTTCACTGTCTTTTTTATTATTTCATTTTACACCTATTAAGCTTATTTAATTAAGAATGCCTCAATTTGATTTAAAGTTTTTTTCTTTTTTTTGCTAGTGTTAGGTGACTGCAAAGAAAGGCGTTACATTACTTTACTGCATGTATATCTTTATGACTGAAAAAAAAATAAAAAATTTAACATACGAATTAACACATTTATAAGTACGTTGTTAAGTTTATATCAGGAGAAATACATACAATGCTTCTATAAAATTTCTTTAAAAAGTTTTTCCCAGTTCTTAGAAGTTTTTCCCTGACTATTGCAAATTAAACCACTATGCTTTTTTTCCAGTTTTTCTTGCCACATCTAATATATTTACCACTAGAAATGCCCTATATTAAGCTGCTTATATCAACAACTTTCAAATTTCCACCTCTCCATGAAGGTTCCAATAGTGACTATTCTGCGATTGCGCTGTGGACGTCCATAGGCCTCTGAGATGATTACCAGAAAGTAGGTAATCATCTCAGATAGTTGAGATCAATCTAAAGACAGATTGACTCAATAGTAAACTAAAAGTAATTGTCATTCCTGGGGTTCGGTCCCCCCAAAAAATTGTTGGGCTACTGTATAATACCTCAAACTCAACGCTATTCCTGACATTTTGAATTGAAAAAAGCTTCCTGGATGGGAAGCGAAACATCTTCTAACCTTGGAATCCAAGTCCAGTAGATTTTTTTGTATTATTATTATTATTATTTTGAATAACTATGACCTGGATGACTGAGAACCTTCACCAGCATAAAAATAATTGGTTTTCCAAAACGTATTTAGGAGTATCACACTAAATGGGGTTTAAGACATTGGCATGCCACACCTTTCAGATTTGTATTTTTTATATAACATATGAATAGGAAGCTGTTACATCTCAAACTTTAAATCGGGCACAGACGTATCTTTTTTAAGTGATTTTTTTTCTTCTATCAAGCTGAGATTGTTGTTTGACCTTTGTATCTCGACTGGAGGTGACAGGTTATCTAATGCTCCCGTTGATATCCAGTCTAACAGAATGCACCCCCTCCATGGGTAATCCATAAAATTACATGTTTGTGGATTTTTGGGGGGGTATAATTCGGGGTTACTTCGGTTCATTTTTTTCTGTTGCTCTCAGACTGCATGGCAGCGTTGAGCAGCACGTCACGCGCCTGTGGGGAATGAGGTAGAGAGCGAAGCTTATAAATAAATAGCCAACAGCTGTCCGAAGGCGCGTGCTTTGCTTTCTTAATCTGGTGGAGAATAGTCGCTACGTTGGACTAGCCCATTCTTTTGTATCAACGTCTGTATATTAGTGTATGTGTTGTCATTTTCCCCCACAGAAGATAAAACCGGTCGAGGGAGGTGGACGGGTTCGGGCTTCGTAACAGCCAAGCTACTCATTCTTATATATGTACACAAATACACAGGCTACTGCAGGGGGGGGATGACCGCGCGTGACCTCAAAGGACACGCTACGTTTTAGCTAGTGCTCCCATTTAAACTAAAACGGCTTTACAACAAAAAAGAGGGGGGGAAATGTTTTTATTTTAGCGTAACTACGGCATTCGCTACCCGCGCGGCATTCTCAGCTGCTATCAAACGGGGCTAGTGTTAGCAAGCTAAGCTACGCTAGCTTAAGGCTAAACCCGTCCGTTTACTGCAGATGCTAAGATAAACTAACGCCTGCCATGGATAAAGCTAAATCGTTGGTGGACAAGAAGGGATCGGCGGGACCTTTCCATGTCAACAATGGACAAAGCCCGAGGGGGTTGAATGGGCTCGTGGTGGTAACCGCTAACGGCGGCTGCTCCTGTAATAATGCATTCGGTTTGACAACGGGACCAAGCAGCAGCGGCAGCAATGCGCTTGAAATGCATCATCTGCAGCGGGGGGAGGAGAAAGAGTGCAACGGGTCCCCAGCAAAGAGATCCCGGCTGCGTAGGAGGACGGAGTCGGTGAAAAGGAACAGACCTCGTAAGTGACAGAAAATGGAGTCTGTGTCACTGACTGTCATTCACAATGTCTCTGCTCTGACACGATTGTGTCACTGCAACCGGCTTCATTCCGTCTTTTAATCATTGGGAGTAACCATTCGTTTTTTTTTATATCTTACGTTACTTTATGTGTCGTGTCTTTCATTTGTTATTGTTTTTTTGTGTGTTTTTTTTAACTGAGCAATGTTATGGACCTCCCTTTGCTCTGACACTGTACAGCTCCGTCCAGCAGCTAGCCGTCACCAGGGAGACCTCTTTCACTGTTTATCAACCCTCAGGTTGCATTTGGAGCTCTTTGATTGGTCGCTTTCCGGTGGTGAAACAGCTCCTGATAAGTGGGCCTGGCTTGTCTCAGCCAATCAGGGCTCGACTCTTGTCTACAATAGGAAGGGTGAATGAGGAGGGAACCGCCCCTATCCTTACCAAGTGGTTCGGAAGATGTGATGATCGTATTATGAAAGTTCATATGTCTAGCCCAGAATGCCGAAACCGGTTGTTTTCTTCGGTTTGTGAAGTCTTCATTAACACCCAGTACAGAGAGTCGCGTTTTTAATTCGTCCCTTTAATAAGCAGTGTTTATAAAGTATCCCGAAAATCGTTTGTTTGCTTTCAGGGGCATACATTTTGCCTAACAATGAAGCTTATAACTGAGAAGAAACCCGGTAAGTGAGTTAGTTTCTGCTTCATTGTAATAAGAAAACGATTTATAATTGTTTTTTTAGGAAAGTTGTGTTTCAAGAGTGTTGCACATTTCATGCAAAATGCTAATTCTACTATGGTCAAGATTTCTAGCGACTGTTTTTTGGTTTAACATGGGTATCTATGGTTAAACTCATTCTTGCTTTGTGGATTTATCAGCAGAGATACTAGCGTACTGGGATACAGGGATAGTGTTGTGATAATAGTCTGTTAGTCAGCCATACTGCATTCCTTACATCTGTTAGTAATTGTTTTGGTCAGGGATGGGGGTGGAAAGAAAATGCATTGGGTATTATTATGGTTTCAAAGAAATGTTTGGGTATTTAGAGCCAATTTCAACAAGTCATTTCTTATTTTCTAGTACCAAGCATACATAAAAGATAACCTTACAAATATTAGTTGCCTAAGGGATTGTTTGTTCCCATATTTCTACTAAGTTACAACTAATTTAGTTGAATTGAAATTAAATTGAAGTGTAGGAGAAAGTGAGCAAACAGTTTAGCCTTAGGATGATTAGGTATAGCTTGTCACTTGTTTGTTTTGGCCTTATATTGTAACATTTGACGGCTTTTTGGGGGGGGTGACTGTCAACCAGCAGCAAAGCTCTTGTAATGGTAACATTAAAAAAATCCTGAAAGTTAAAATAAGATATACATTTATGACAGCTTTCATCAATCAAAGTTTTTTTTTTTTTTTGATATATGAAAAAACATAAAATGCAGACACGACAAGAACTGTTTATAGACTTAATTCACCATTGTTTATATACATCGATCTGTTTATGGTACCTATAAATTAAGCTAGAAATCTTAGTTAAGATATATATTATAAATCTAACAAACCCAAATAAGTTAGTTTTAATGTAAATATGAGTTAATGATGGGAGCAGCAGCATAAAACCATCTGAAAGTCTGATTCACAAGTCATTAGTTGTGCTTACTTTATTACACAATTATATAAGCCAGTGTTGTAATAACTTTGACCCCACCTCCCTCGAATTTTTCTTTTTTTTTTTTGTTTCTTTAGCAGCCACAGCTGCGTATTTCTTTCACCATAACTTGCAGTAACTTCTAATATATTAATAACAACTTTGGAAGAAATATGAATATAGAAGCATCCTTTAAAGCACTTATTATGTTTATCATAACAGATAGAGGAATAAGTGGACCTCTGCAAAGTAAAGCAATGCAGGGAGAACATGTTGCAAAGGAGCCAGAGGCTGAGCAGCCTTCTAGATGGGTTATGTCTGATTACGTAGTTAGAGATGTATCTGCCCTGTAACCATTAAAAGGTCCGGTAGAGATTCTCTGTTTATGGCTGACTTATCTTCGGAGAGAGTCCAGTCATTCTGATATACCCGGATGAAAGCTTTTCCAAACAGAGTGCTGACCCCGGAATGTGGTTCCCTCTGGGATTGGATTTTTTTCACTTTTGTTTCTTTCTTAGCGGTTTTAGTTGGTTTAAACAATGGGTAACCCACTCTGACGTATTCCTCGTTTGTATTCTAGTACCGGTATGTCAAATCTGAATCTAACTGGGATTTTAAGAGATTATTCACTCTATAAGAACTTAACAGCATGTTTAATTTAAAATATTTAATTTTATAGCGGTATAAAGTAAGATAACAATACAAGAACACTGCCTGATCCGACATATAAGTTCTGTAATATTAAATATCATTAATTATTTTTATACTTTGTCATAATCATTATTGATCTTAAGAACACATTTATCAGCG